TGGTTGATTTGGCCAAATAGGGAATTCATTGTCTGGTCTGATGAATTCGAAGACCCACACGTGGCATGCTTTTGGTAACATCTCCTGTGCAATCACATCATATTCCATTGTTACTAATGTATTTCAATGTTCTTGTTGCAATGTTGCCTACTTTTGTTTTCCTCCCGCATCCCAAAAAGACACCCACACCTAAGTGGGAACTAGTGTTGTATTATGATTAGAATGTTGGACTGAAATCTGGGAGATCTTGATTTTAGACCCAACTCAAGTCATGGGGCTTAACTGAGTGACTCTGAGCAAGCTGTTGACTGAGCCACAGGATTCCTGTGACGATAAAAAGGAGAGGAAGGCTAGGTTAGTTGCCTTAATGTAATAAATGAAAGGGAAAAGAAAAAAGAGGAAAGGATGGAGATGTATCAGCAACTTGTTATTGCAAAAGAAACACTAGATGGAGATGGCAAATTGATCCCTGCTGCAAAATGCCGAACGATTTAGTGATAATAGCATGAATGAGCACTAGGTCGCGCTGTTGGACAATAAATGAAGCCCCCGCTGTATTTGCGAAGAGGCCGTGCAGGAGAGGGTTAAAAGGACGCCTCGTAACCGACGTGAACTCTAACACGAAACCCCATTCCTGAGAGCTCTTTAGATGTAACGGTGCTGGGAAGCAGGCACCTCCTGATCTTCTGCGGGCGCTTTGCCTCTGCCTCGCTCAGCCAAGCGCGATTGCGCGGAATATGCCCGGGCGCTGGGGACCGTAAGCTCCAGGTGCGGCGGCGGTGAGGAGAAGAAACGCGCGCAGAGCGAGGGATATACGCCGGCGGGCAGCGCGTACGTGGTGAACGCGGACGGCAAGCGGGAGAGTGGAGGACCGGGGAGCCCGCGGAGAAGCGGGGCTGGCCTGCCGCGGGTCTCTTTCTTTGCGCTTCGACGCTCTCCCGGCGCAGCTCTTCATGCTCTCTTTGCGCACAGCGCCTTACCCTTTTCCCCTGCCCCACCACCCCGCGAGTCGCGCCGCGCCCCGTCTCTCCGCTCTCTCTCCCTTCTCTCTCACGTGCGTACAGACGGACGCAAATTTGCTATAAATGCCCCCGTGGTTTGGGTGCCCTTTGACACAGTGTCTAATTTCCTGTACGCTGTTGGAATTGTACGTAGCCTCAGGCGAGCATTTCGGTAAGCGGCACACCTGCCTGGGTGTTGGGCGAGAAGACGGTTCAAAACACGCCACACCATTAAAAAGTGCCGCGGAGCTGCTAAGCCGAGGCGTCCCGCGCGGCGTGCGCCCCGCAGCTCCACCTGGCCCAGCAGGTAAGGCGCGCGCCCGCAGGGGAGCTCTCGCCGGAGCGCTTGCTAAGACTGGACCTGCCCCGTTTGCAGAGCCCTTGCTGGGCAGGAGGGCGTTTGCTGCGCGTCGTTGGAGCCCCGCGCAGGGCGGAAGGGAATGCCTCTGCAGGCTGGCAGCAGCACCGCTCCCGCAGAGAAGGGAGGCAGGTTCCGTGGGAAGCGATCAGGCCGAGATGCGCGCGCCTGTCTTGTTGCGTGCTTGCCCGCGCGCAAACTTCCACCCTGCGCCAAAAGCGTTTGGGCCCTCGAGGGGCAGTTGCGCAACACCTTTGCCTCTTTACCTATTCCTTGCCAGGCCTTTGTGACTGGATTCGTCTCCACTTTCCCTTTTGCAGTTGCAGGATGGCTACGTGGTTGTCGGTTTGACAGTGCCCCGTGTGTCTCCGTGCGTGTGTGCGAGCGCGCTGCTATAAGGCCGGCAGCAGGTAGAGCCGTTACAGCACCAGCCTGTGCTTGCCTCCTCGAAAGGCTCTCCTGCTCATTCTGTTGGACGGAGCCCTGGACTTCTGCCAAAATCCTGCCCGGACGTACCCCGGTGTAGACTAACTCCCGTGAGGGAAGAGGACCAGGGCCATGTCTTGACTGTGGTGCTTCAGACTGCAGAATGTTTGTTTACAGTAGGTAGACTGGTAATCCCTGCACTCAAAAATTTAGAGAGCATGCAGAAAGGTTCTTGTTGACACACTAGTTTGTTCCCTCAGACATGCTCCTTGCATGCAGAAATCAGTCAAATCTACTTCTGCCAGTTTGAGCACAGCCCAGAGACAGATCTAGAACTTCAGTGAGAGCTGTCTCATGCTGTAATCCTGGTGAAAATTGAGATGTGTCTACACAGGTGTGCAGCTTTATCTCTGCTCTCAACGGAATATTCTGCAGATATTTTTAACGTATCATTGATTTATGATGCTCTTTATGGGCTGAAGCAGCACAGCAGTACCTCTTTCCTGTATCGAACACAATCTTCATGCTCTTACCATGAAAACCAGCTCTGGCTACCTTAACCTTTCCAGCAAACAGGTCTATTAGTAGACAAATGAATCCTACTTAGGAGGCTGTGTTCATGGTAGGATTAGGGGATCACTGCTCTCACTGGCTAGATGGGCAGACTACCGGGAAATCATAGAGATCCCTGAGGAATATGTTTCTCTGTGTGCATGCACATCCTGCCAACTGCACTAATTAAATTCGATGATACTCCATTGATAGCAAGAAGTATACTAGGTCAGCCAAAATCTTAGGAAACACATCCCTGGGTAGCACTGGCTGACAGCCAACAATCTGAGGGAGGGGAACATCTTTCTCCCACATTTTTCTCCTCCTCTCATAACCCTAGACGCTGAGGTCGTCCTTGAAATGATCCGTGGGATGTCCAGAACAGTGAAATTTGGTATTTAATTAAAACATGAGGTTCACTTATACAAGATGTAGAGAGGGCCACGAATTTGGATGGCTTTAGAAGGGGATTACACAACTTCATGGGATAAGTAACTATCAATGGCTACTGAGCCTGATGAGTACGCTAGTTGCTGGGGTATTGAGGTTGCTGCCCTACTCATGAGTTACTCGTGCGTTTCCCTTGGGGAGGTGGCAGGCGAGAGCAGAATCGTGGACGAGGTGGGCCGGTGGGCTGATCCAGCATGGCTCCTATGTTCTCACACGTGGCTGGGAAGAGTTTCTGCATGCAGCACCCGAGAATACACATTCCTCTTTAGACATGACGTGGACCTTTGAACGCTCCCTGCATCCTCGGTTCGCGGCCGGCAACTGTATTCTGCACGTTCCTCGTCTGCACGCAACTGCAGCATCTCGCTTTGTTGTCTTTTTCCAAGGGAATTATCTTGCAATACGACTCTTCGGTCTAGCAGTTGCTACTGCTTTGAAGGAGAATAAGCAAGTGGGCAGGCAGCCCTGCTAGGAATGTCGTCGTGTCTGGGTGTTTTCTGCTTTTGCCTTTGTATTTGGACGGGAGCTTTTGCTCTTTTTGGCATTTGGCCGTGGATGAAAAATTGCCTTATGGTTGCAAGCTGCTGGGAAAAGCAAAAACGGGGCTGACAAGAGGGCTGGTAGTAACGGAGCAGCAGCTGTCCACGGGGGGGGTTCTCCCGCCTCCAGGTTCTCCCTTTCCAACAAGGCCGCACAGAGCGGCAGTCAAAGAACTTCCGGTAGTTCTTCTCAGGCGCCTCGCCGCCTTTCCCGCTTAAACGCGGCCAGGAGGGCTCGACACGCGTGCGGACGAGGAGCGGGGAGGAGGCACGTGACGCGCCCCACGAGCAGCCATAGGCGGGCAGGGGGCCGCTCTGGAGGCGACTTCTCCAGCGCCCCGCAACTTTGCTAACCACAGATTTCAGCCGCAGGCCAACTCCCTTCCCAGCGGAATTGCACACTGGCGGAAGATCAAGTGCTTCACCTTGTTGGAAAGTGTGCATGGTGGAAGTGGGGAAGCTCTTAACCCCAGGGCCTCCAGCCAGAGAAGCATGTTGCACAGCTGATTCCTGTTCCTTCGCTAGAGCTAGGAAGTGGCTTTATGCTGAGGCCGGCCATGCTTCTGTCTTAACGGCGCACTGTCGACACTTGACTGACAGCTTCTGTCCAGGAATTTAGTCCCGGATCTTTGCTAGACTTGGAGATGGCGGCATCGGAATGGCCCTACACCTGAGCTCAGATCCCGGGGCATGAGAGCAGGGAAGACCGGGGTGGGTGAGTGCCAGCAGTGGAGCGGGTAAAAGGGGGTAAAAGTGTCAAAGGGGAGTGGGTGGAAACCGGAGGAAAGGGAACTTTGCGCATTACTAGCCTTTCGTCTCCAGGCAGTGGGGACTTCCCACTCAAACTGTTTACTTTCCCCCAAGAGGGTATTGATTGTTATCAAATGTTCACTGTTTTTCATGTGTTATAATGGGGTTCTCATCCTCAGGGAATGCAACCTGAAAAAATGGAGGGAGACTCCTCCAAGGACATCTTAAAAAAAAAAAAAAAGGATTATCATCGAATTTTGCTTTGGCAAGTTTGCCGTCGCGGCGTGTATGCGCTATCTTCCCCCTTCTTTAAATGCGAGGGTTTTTTCTTTTCTCTGCACTTTCCCTAAAACAGTCTCCTCGCACAGTCTAGTCTTCAGTGTCACTTCAATTTACCCAAAGTAGAGAGTTAATTCTGCCCCCCCCCCGCACACATACACACACCTGTCAAAAAATAAAGATTTGGCAGACTCGGAAACCAAGCGGCCCTCGCCCAGGTTGGCTTTGCGTTTGCAGCACATGCCCAGTGGCCACCAGCGAAAGGCCGCTGGATCGCCGGCCTGGAGTTCACGGCTTCTATCTGGCAGTCGCCGCAGCCAAGGGACAGCCGCGCCGGCTGCTGCTTGGCTCCGGAGCAGAGGAGCCAGCGAGCTACGTGTGTTCTTGGCTGGGCGGCCACTGCCCCCTCGCCGCCCTCTCTGCGCTCCCTCCCCCGCGCAGGCCAGTTCGCCCTCCACGGCGGGCCGGCTCGCGCGGCGGGACTCCTCATGCCTCAGGAATGCGGAGAGGTATGCGCAACTTTCCAGAAGGCGAGATCCCTCTTCCCCTCGCCTTGCTGGAGAGCAGAGAGGAGCGCATAGATCATCCCGTGGCAGCCATCCACCTTTCCCGCCGCCGTTTCGTAACCGCTTACGAGAGACAAGTTGGGAGCTGGGAACAGCCCTCTATTAAGTAGCAAGTTTGGGGAGAGGCGCTTCCCACTTGGAGAAGGCAAGGCTTCCCCACGGAGCGACCCCTCGCAGCGGCAGCAGCAGCCTCAGCCAGCCCAGCGCTCAACCTAGGCGGCTCCTCTCGCCGCCGCCGCCGCCGCTACTGGCCGCGCCCTTCCCCAAGGTGCCCGGGAGCTCTCTCCGCCGCTGCCTCCCGCCTTAGCCCCGCAGCTGCGGGCGCCGACTCATCGTCCATCCCCGCTACCGCGCCGCTGCCACCCAAGGTTTGTGCGCGCGGCCGAGAGGGAATCCCCGCGCTCGTCCTCCAGGCAGAGGCTGCTGTGCAGCCCGACCAGGCGCGCGGAGCGCGCGCGCGAGCGAGACCAGGGCAGCCGCCGAGCCGGGAGCGCGCGCGCGTGTCTAAGTGCGCGTCTGCGTGCGTGGGCTCCCCGTGGTTCGCATTCTCGGTGCAGAAAGCAACCTGGAAGCTTGGCTGTTACTAGACGCATAGCAAATACGGACCTCCCTGGTGGAGTCGGATTTAAGAATGCGAGATGGTCGCGGGGATTTCTTTTGCTTGCCTGCTTGCCTGCTTGCTTGCCCCCCACGCCCCGAAAGCTGTACGCAGCAATCATTCGTGGGGTGTCAGCGGGGAAGTTCAAGGCAGCGGCACCACCCGACGGCTTCTTATCGGCTCTTACTGGGCTTTGCAGTGCAATAGGTTTGGCTGAGAAGTATCTGCATAGAGATGGCTTCTATTCGTCCTTGCTGCCAAATCTCCTTTCGCGACTGCACTTAATCCTAGACGGGAGCTCTGAAAAGGAAGAGCGGGTGTAATTTATCACGGGGGAGGCATCCTTCGAATGTGGCTTAATTCTTTTAATACTTTTAATACCCATCACCTCGCCGCCTAGTTTTGCGCCTCTCAGCTACTGGGGTGGGTGCTAATTCCACTTAGCTAGCGCAGGGAACGTTCACGATCAGGGTGCACAACGGCATCCGCGCTGGCTTGGCACGGGAAGCCATTTCCCTGCCTCAACCCCCCTTCCCGCCCCCAGTCCCTTTTCTGACTGTGCAGCAGCGCCTTATATGTACGTTTCAACCTATTTCCAGTCGTTGGGGGAGAAATGCGCGCGTCTGGTCATTTCAGAGCCATTGGACAGGCTTTGCACTCATGCCGAGGGACATTTTATTTTATGTTTCACGTGCTAGGGGGCATTTTATTTTATTTTATTTATTTTATTTCACGGGCTGCACAATGATTTATCTGACCCGCGTTGGATTGAGGTCGGCTTTGGTCTTGGGCGCCAGCGCAACATCGGAGCAGCCGCGTAAAGAAAGACCACTCATTAATCATGCAGATGAAAGCAGAAAAGCCAATAAAGTTGTTATCATGCCATCAGACAGATAATTTCTTAAAGGAGGGTCGTGCTAGTGGAAATTCCAGTCTGGAAGTAGCAGGGAGGAGACAAGAACGAAGTATTCTTTATGGCTCGCGGTTTGCCCAGCTTGGTGGGTGTTTTGGTGCTCTTGCGGCTGCTGCCAAAAGATGGCGCTCTAAGCTCAGGCAAAGCACCCCAGACGCAACTTGGCTTTTTTCAGTGTCTTCCTTAAACAATGCCTACTACATGTCGACTTAGAAGTAAGCCCCGATGAATTCTACACTAAATGCTCCCAGGGAAATAAGGATAGGATGCAACCTCAAAGACTTTGAAGTGGACTGGCTGATCGGTGGACATGTTCCCACTGTTCCTCCCCACACTGCTATGAGACACACTTGAAGTTGCTGAGTGTGTACATATCCGTGGGTGAGGCAGGCAGGCAGGAATCAGAAATGATTGCTGAGTTGGCCAGTTAGTTTGATAGCAAAGCAAGAGACTTCGATTGTAATTAGCACTCGATGTGTGTGCGTGTGTGATTCTCAGGGGAAAGCAGAAGCATCTGTTCATTATGTGACAGTTTTAAAAAATGACAGATGTGTGAATTTGCTTCAGTTGTGTGCCAACTCCTGCAATAGGGAACAGAAAAGTGTTGTCGAAACTAGTCCATTTCCTGGGATGATTGAGTATGTCGATGATTTCTTAAAAATCTCTTTCAATGCTTCAGAGCTGTCCCTTCCCCTGAGTTGTTAATTGTTTAATGATTCATGCCAACTGTTTTGCTTTCTGTGGTTGATCATGTTAATCAAACCTATTTCTTAATTATCTATGCTTCTCTCTCTTTTTCCCTCCTCCCCCTTATCAGTTGCAGTAAAAGTTAAGCTGAGGTTAGAGGAAAAATGAGATCAAATCTCATAACTTCTTTTATGAGGCTGGAAACTGCCTCTCCCCCCCCCCCCCCCCCCCCCCCCATGGCAGCAAAGTAAAAGCCTGACAGTCTAAATCAGACTTCTCTAACCTGGTACCCTCCAGATGTTTGGTCATGCTCGCAGGGGTCAATGGAAGTTGAAGTTACAGCATCTGGAGGGTACCAACTTGGGAATGTCTGGTCTAGACCTTTGTAGTCTAGACTTTACATTTCCATTCCATCTCCCACCCCCACCTATCTGCTCTTTTGTATCCCTTGAGAGTGAAGTGAAGGGCAGTCTAAATCAGTGAAGCTCAATCCGTTCTCCACAGAGCTACTACAGGTAGCTAGGGCTGCCCGTCATTGTTAAAGAACTTTGAGGAAAGGTCCGGTAGCTCTGTGCAAAGACAGGCACACCAAGGGCCCTGCCTGTTTCTGTTTATTCAGAAATAAAGTTCACTGATATGAATGGGGCTTCTTTGGGAACAGAGGCATGTTCATTGCAGCATTCAGCACTGGGGAGTCAGGATGCCCACATCTGTGCTGGGTTATGGTCAAAGGATCTTGAGCAAGCAGATTTTCAAAACCACCCCGAGAGTTGATACAGATAAGAACTACTAAGACCTTCTTGGTGCCAAAATGCACCCTTTAGTACTACCATTGCTTGTTAAAAACACACATAAAGTAGTAAACCTGTGGTAGATACTGTCCCAGCTGGCTTAGATTGGTAATGGCGGAGAAGACAATGATAAAAGCTGTGCATACTTTGTAGCTAAAAAGGAAGAAAAGATGTTAATGCAGAATAACATCTTAGTGCATAATGTTGAATTCTGCAACCTGGATATGTTATGCAAGTATAATACATTCTCCTGGGTTGTCTTAGGTGCACAGTCCCCACACAACAGCTTATGCCGAGATAAATTGGTTAGCCTTTTGTTGTTTTCCCTGCAACGGACTAATACGGCTTCCCCTCTGGGAATTTCTTATTGGAAATGATTAAGCCCTTGGGAGACAAGGGGAAAGCAAAGACCTTTGCATTGGCTACTGGATGTCCTAGTAAGGCTTTCTTTCCTCTGTTCTGGAGACCTGAGCACCTCATGGGACCCACACGTTCCCATCTAACTATGCAGCCATAAAATCAAGAAGTGGGCTTTCATGAAAAACAAAGCCTGCGATTTCTAAGGATGCGCTTTCCGTGCCCTGAACTAAATTCCACACACTTGTAGAGCTCTCTTCTTTCTTTTTCTTTTTTTCTTGCACAGGAGCGCTGCCTTAGCAAGAAGCAGTATTAATGTGACCTTTCAGAAGGGTTGAAGGAATGTCAGTGGGATTGCTGCTGCAGACTAGGTGGTTTAAAGATTTTTAGCCAAGTATGCGCATTTCTGGACAGAGGAGCTCTCCTGTTCCCGAACACCGTCTCCCCCCCCTCCCCCATGCATTTTAGGGTTGCCTGCCCCCTCCCCCATGCTCTCTGATGTGCGTGGACAAAATGATCCAGCTATGTCAGGGTTGGGTTTCAATTGTATGTTACATCCTCTTGTGTATAATTTGTTTCAGACCTTAAGGGGCAGCAGGAAGGTGCGGGGGGGGGGGGAGGGGAGACTGAGAAGCCACATACTTGGAGGGAGAGTAGATTTTTCTCTTGTTATTCATTATTAGTTTCCAAACTATTATGAGCATTCCAAACTAAGTGCTTCAAAAGTTGTGAAATAAGGAGCCAAATAAAATCCCCAGCTGGAAGAAACACTGGCATGGATTCAGCAAAAAATAAGTGCAAGGAGCAAAGGACTGTTTCAATTAGCAATCACTGGCCAGCTTCTGTGCTTCCTCAGGGGCGTCTAGGCTAGGAAGGAGAGAAAGGACGGCATTCCTCGGTTCTTCCATTGGCATTCCTCGGTTCTTCCTTTTGCTTATGATTGGTATACCTGCGTGAAAGGTGGATGCATTGCTTTAAATGCACTTGCATCAGATTTTTAAAACTGGATGGCTGTGAATGAAAGTGGATTAACCAAATACATTTAGCTTTGCTGGGACTGTTGTGTCAACCATGAAATGAATTGATTTTCTTTAGCTTTTCACCAACTTTCAAACCAAACAAAATCCAGTTGTACACAACTAGGACTGAATTTTAACATTTCAGTTTGTCCTCCCTTTAACAAACGTTTGGTCACTCCCTTTTCACTGGCATTGTGTTTTAACAGTTGCAACATTTTGCTGCTTCGTTTTTGTCTTCCTAACAATGAATCCTCTTTCAGCCCTTCTAGTTGGCAAAGCTGTTGTGATGGGGAGGGGAGGGGAGGGGAGGGGGAAAGGGAAAAAACAACTCCAGACCTGCAAATCCAACAAAGGAGACATAAACACAGGAGCAGCAGCAGTTGCCAGGCTCCTCTGCTATTGATATTTTGATAATCAAAAGAGAAACTGGCCATGCGCTGTAGAGGTGCCACAGATGCAGTGGCTTTGCAGTGTCAGGAACAGACGGGTCCATAGGCATGTGATGTGAAGAGACAAGGTTTCTCCAAGACAGAATGTGACACGAACTGTGTAAGGCAAGGTGGACCAGAAGTTGAGGCAGGCAAAGAGGCAGATTTTTTTTCCCCTCACCAGTGGGAACACTGGTGTTTGGGGGCACTGCTTGAGAAGAAGCATGATGTGAATTGTGACTGTGCACATTAACAGAAGCAAGTAGAAAGTCCTGAGCAATCCCCAGCATGTTTGGAAATGCACATTTGATGTTGACTTTTGTTTTGGGTTTAGCAGTAGCTATGTTGGTGTATGATGGGAGGGAACTGTGGAGCAAGAGCAACTGCAAAAGAGCAGATGGTTGGGAGAGTAGCTCTTGGCAGAGGCGAGTCTCCCTTCCATTCCCTCTGTGTGTGTGTGTGTGGGGCAGGGGTGCTTTGCCGCCCAGTGGCTCTTGCTTGCCCCAGCCAGGGAGAGAAGATGCGCAAGGCTGCTGAGCAAAGTGGAGCATCCCCTGTCACCCTCCACCCAGCCTTCCTTCCCAGCCCTTGTATTTGTTGGTGTGTGTGCCTGTGTGCACGTGTGTGTGCCTCCACAACGCTGATTTCCTTTCTCCTCTTTTTCTTCCCCTAGAGTCATTCATGTGGTTGTGATCCAAAACGGCAGCCATGAAGATTAGGCTCTCGGAAGCGGCAGTCGCTGCCCTGTGCGTAGGTCTTCTCCTGTGCTCAATAGAGGCTGAAGGTAAGTCATTCCTTCCTTTACTCCTTGAAAGTGATGGTGCAGAATTAAACCAGGCCACCATTTCTCTCTGAGTGTAACTGCTCCTCCCTCCCTCTCTTTCTCTCTCTCTCTCTCTCGCTCTCTCTGTGCCTTCCCTTCCTTTCAGTGGTTTGTTTGTGTCCAGGAGTCCCTCCCGCTGGGGAGCTCCTCTCTCCCTTCTCTCCTCTGTTGCCTCTCTGGTGTGCTGTCCACACCGGACTGTCCCCTGCAAGTGGGAGTGTCCCCCTCGGCCCTCCCGTGCCCTCTGTTGTGGTTCCCTCTCCCCCTCCCCCCTCCCTCCTGGAGGCCGAGTGCTCAGGGAGAAGGAAGATGCCTGTGCAAACTTGAAACTTCTACTTCACAGGCAAGAGAAACCCTGGAGCGCTCACATACGCCCTCCTGACGAGTCATTGCTTTGCTTTGTACTGAGAGCACATAATAGACAGATCCCCATGTGTCCCGTCCCCCCGCCTTTTCCCTAAACTATTTATAAAATAAAGCTCTCCAACAAAGTTTGGCTGCCTGTGTGTTTTGTTTGGAATGGGGTGGAGGTGGTGGAGAAGATCTGTTCTTGGTGAGCAGGCTCCTGTTGCGGAAGCGAGTGCCAGTCTCTCTGGGGACAGCCAGAGCTTTCCTTGCTCTCCTCTTCTCTCCCTTCCTTCGGCTTCCCTCAATCCATTTTACCACTAACCCTTTGAACCCTTGAGGCATACACTGACCCCCTGCTCACACATCCTTTCCCACTCCACTTCTCCTGTGGCAAGAGCAGAGGAAAGCAGTCCACAGTGTAAATGTGGAAAACATCCTCTCCTGCACTTCGCTGCTATGGGGGAAATACGCAGTCAAACAAAACGCAGGTCCAACACACCCATCTCAGGGTGAGGAAGGAGCACCGGAGCAGAGGAAAGTAGCCTGCCTTCCTTTCGTCCTCTCATCGCATTCAAGATCTTCCCTGAAACTTGGTTGCAATTCCACATGAAGCATTTATTGTGCGTCTGCTGCCGCATGCACAGTTTTGTATGTATGGAGTCCACAAAGCATCATCTTTAAAATATATATATAAACTGCTTAGAAACTTGACTATTTTTGGCAGCATACAAGCACTTCTAATACATAAATACCCAGCCTGTGTTTCTCTATCACTTCTTTCTTCTTGCTGCAGAAAATCTGTTAAGAAAGAAACAGTTGCAGTAGATGTACCGTTTCTTTTCACCAGTAAACTCTAGGAACCCTTCGCAGATCTCACAAGCAGCAGTTGAAGCACCTGTGAGTTCTTGCATATTTCCATCTGACAGCATAACAAGTAATCGGGGAAGGTGCATGGAAGGGATGCCTCTCACTCTTGCCATGTGTGAACTTCTTGCTCCTGCTGCTCAACCAACAGGAATCATTAATTTCCAATTATTACCTCAGTATGGTAGAAAGTTAATATACCCAGTAAGCACTCTTCTTTCTCAACAGTTATTATCTTGAGCTTTTATCTTGAGGGGCATTATCTTGAGCTTTTCTATCTGCAGTTCATCCCTCTGTGTGAATGGTGTGAGATGCCTGCAGGACCTGGTGTGTCTGTGGGCAGGTTGAACCAGAAGCCTGACGCAACTAAGCCACTAATACCCATTTGCTGTTTTAGTGGAATGCAGAAAGGAACAATCAGCTCTTTCAGGAGGCTTTCAGAAAAGGCCTTTATTAGACAATTGTCTTGCCTCATTCTTGGAATTTTACAGGTCCAGAAAATCTCATCTTCCTGTGTTTTCCTACTTCTGTCCTCCATCTTACTACTCCTGCAAATAAATACATACATACATACATACATACATACCATTAAGGAGGGTAAAACAGAATATGCCCATTATACCTTTTGAATGGTGATGCTCGGAGCTTTGTCCAGAAGCACTTACAGTGAGGCCCAGGCATGCCCTCTCATGGATTCATATCTTGGAACAGATTTCGGACCTTTTGTTTGCTCTGTGTTCCATGCTCCGCGGCAGCCATGCTGTGCTCCGCCCCAATACAAGCTCTCTGGCTGCCTTAGGTGGGAGGGGGCACGTGCTGTTTTTGCACTGTGCCCTTCCCACTGTTCCGCACTGCCTCTGTCCACTTCTCTTGCTACATCATACCTCACTTTCCCCTTCCCTTTGCCACTGCTCTGTCAGCCCCGTGGCCTGGCTTGAAGAATCAAGGATGGGGGTCTTGCAAAAACTTTCCTGGATAATGTGGGAGCTCCGTAGCAGCTTCTTCTGGCCACGTAGCTCGTCACAGAGCCAGCATGATGGAGGCAAGAGGAAGGTGGAGCAGGGGTGCAGCAAGGGAGCCCATGGGCCGCGCGTTCGCCACAGTAGATGTCGCAGTGGCATGGCTCCCCAGAGCCTCTGCAGGCCGAAGCTGGGCAGCCGCGGCAGGCCCTCCTGGCGGGGGACGGGGAGCAGTGTCCCTCTCCATCACCAGATGCAGGCTCCTTGTTCGGCGTTGTGGGAGGGCTGCCTCTGCTTGGTCCGCTTCCCTAATGAGCCTGTTGGCTTCATGGCGTTGTCCTGGTTCCTAGGAGGAAGCGAAGGTGAAACACCCTGATCCTATTTTTGTGATGCTGCTGTGACTTACAAGGATGTAAAACTAACGAGTGCAGCTCACCAGCAGCATTTGCCATATGAAGAATATGAATCATGTCTGCGTGAGGGTAACCTTGATTTAGTGATTTAATGGAAATCTGCAGTTGGGCAATGCCTTTATTAGAACCAAGTGAAATGTCACAAAATAGTGTGCAAACTTTCAGGTTTCCCAGAACTCTTAATCAGGGTGGATGGTACGAAAAGCACAGACTGTGGAAAAGAGAAAAAACAAACCCACCTTTCCCCCTTCACCCTGCACAAACAAAATAAGCCTTTTGTAGCAAGAACAAGGCCTGTGTCTGCTGCAGAAGGAATGGATGATCCCCAGTTTTGAAAATGGAAGCTCCAGCTCTTACTCCAAATGTGTTTTAGTCTTAACCAGGTCCCTGGCTGGGCAGACAGAAGAAATAAAATACGCTTTCTGTGCCACCCGGCCTGATGAAGAGTCCTGGTGAAACTGAAAGCTGGCATACAACTTGTCACATTTCGATTGCTCTTAAAAAGTATTGTCTAATGCAGTTTTTGTGGAGGGATGGTTTATGGGCCAATATAACTACCTTTGCTTTTTACTTATTTCTCATGTATAAGCTACTGGTGAGCGTTTTTGGAATTCTGTGCCAGAGGGTAAGTTACAAGTTAACTGAATATGTGCAAACTGAAACCAAAATTCCTATCCACACATGACCTCAAATATCTGACCTGTGGTTATGGTTGGTTATAACTCAAGGCCACAATTCCCCAGTCACTGACCATAGAAGCCAGTGAGGCTGGTCCAGAGTAGCTGGTTTGCTTTTGGACTGCATTTTTGCGTGATGTGTTTTCCAGTCTTTTGTGGGCTCCTGTTTTCATTATAGGCTGCAGCAAAACCAAACACTTCGAATCCTGCTAATACCTTAGAAAGCTGAGTGTTTGGCCCAGGGTGGGGGAGGGGAGGGTGCTGTCCCCTGGCTTCCCTGGGCTTTTACTGTGTGGTCACTCTGCCCCATTCTTGGAGGAGTTTTAAGGGAGTGGTAGTGCTTTAGAGAAAGACTTCACTTTGCAACCCTCCTGTGCTTTCTCACTGTTTCTTCCATTCTTTTTCTTCCACACAAAAAACTGCTCAAGTGGAAAAGACAGAACAGCCACACAGCATGTTAGGTTAGGAGCCATCCCTCTGGATTACAGAGTTAACCCGCCTGTTCCTATGGAGAACTCCAGCACTGAGCCTCTGACTAATCCAAAGCATTGTGGGTGCAAGCCCTCCTGGGCAAAGAGAGGAAGAAGCCACAATTTTGTTTATCCCTCTTGCCCAGGGCCAGTATTTAAACATGTATGAACATCTAGATTTGAGCCCACTCCAGAACTGACATAGATCAGCATCTGGCTTGGGGTGCCAGAGAAGAGTTCTGTGAATCCTCTGTGGCTTGCTTCTTTTCCCCCTTCTGAACATCTGAAAAATGCTGTCACCAAAGCTCTGCAGCATCTGTAAAGAGGGTGCAAGGCCAGCTCTCCCGCTCTAGTGGCAGTCCTCTTTCTTTGTCCTTGGAGGCAGGATCTGAAAGATCACATGGCTTTCAGATCACTTCCTAGCTAATTTTTTCATACCAAGTAGTGTTTTTCACATGGCTTAATGCAGCCTCTCCTCTAAAGTCTTTCTCCTGCCTTCCCCATCCATCTTACGCAGCACCAAGCACTGTTTCTGCAGATAAAGAACACAAAGATAATCCTATGGAGCTCTGCGTCATCTGGTGTGCATGAAGCTCTGTGGATCAGGGGATTTACAGCTAGCATTTACAAGATGAATAAATAGAATGTCTCTTGCCCCTTCCATAAGTGCAGATCAGGGGAAATCATAAGTAGTAAGGACAGGAAGCTCATTCTGAGCTCCCCTTTCCCCAGATCACTCTGGAATAATAGGGCAAGGAAAGGGCTGTCATTCCTCTTGAATCTGTTGACGACCAGGCCGGCTTGTGAGGGAGCATTTAGCCCAAGAGTTTTGGCAGATTTGGGAGTAAAAGATCCATTTGACCTGTGAACTACTCTCCACAGTTAGACAACCATGTTTGTAAAGAAAAGAATAATGAGGCAACCCTTTCTTAAAGCAACAAGAACGATTTCCATCACTGAATTAGCAGCCAGGAGTTTTAAACATTATTTGGGAGAGTTTTTTTTTTTTTTAAGAAATCAATTATTTTGAGTCAGCAAATAATGTCAAAACCTGTTGAGAATTAGGCAATTATTTCTTGCTGCTGTTATTGTTGAGTGGGACAGCAGCCTACTTGAACTACTTCCATCTCCTAATCAGGATATGTAAATTCCTAACTGAATGATGTCAAGGATGCAATTTGTGCCTTTGGCTGGATAGTGTTCCTGCTTCCATTCCTACTGCAGTGGAAAAACTTTCCTTCCTCACCCAGAGAAGTGATTCGCTGAAAATAGGGGGGGGGGGGGGACATACTCAGCAGGTAAATCTGTCCCTGAGACTTCAGTTTTGTGGGGCACGAAGGCTTGGATTGCAGGTTATTTAGCTTATTCCATGTACCAAGATGTCACTATGTGTGACTTCTTTGCAGTTGCACCCACCATTTGTGAATTTGCAGCTGAAATTTGAAGCAGAACACCCCAGATGTTCAGAGAGAAGAATTACATTAAGACAAGGAAGTTTTATGCTCTTTTGTTCACATTTTTTCCTGATCAGATTCTATCCACTGGAGCTACAATTAGCTCTACTGGGAAAAAAAAAAAAAAAACTTCAATTACTCATTTGTAATTGAGCTGTTTCGATCAGCCCATGTATCCTGAAAAAGAAGTTGGGTCCATTTTTTTTTCATTTCTCATTTAAGTAATACCATGCATCATTAAATGTATGGTAAATTATCTCTTTAATATTTTATTTTAAAAAGGATACAATTAAACACAAACACACCCTAATAGGCATATTCCACTGAACAGTTTTTGTGGCATGAGAAATTGAATGCAGGCTCCTTTTAAGTATTGTTTCCCTATCTGAATAGAAACTTGTTCCTTATTTTCCAAATTGTGCAATCTGTAAACATGCTGTTTTCCTGTATTTAATTTCTTTGCATTTATAGCCAGACCAATATTCTTAATCTCAGCTATTGTAGTACATTTTAATGCAAACAGATGTTGATATATCAATGATTGTTGCTTATCTTAATTTTGGTGAGGGAAGCATATGAGGAAATAGTACAATTCAGGATAATATTGTTCATGTACATGTTCCTGGCTTGTATCACAATATGCTGGACAGTATGGGCTTTATCTGTTAGAAGACTGAGAAACCTACCTATGGCTACTTTACAACCTATTTTGTCATTTGGTATGGATACTTCAGTGTAAAATGCATGTATATGGTGCCAATGATGTGGGTTTGAAATGCATAGTAAAAATCAACTTTTCCATATAAAATAGATGAAAAATGTCTCTCTCCCTCAAAGTCATGGCAAGATTTTGGTTATTATGCCTCACATAGGCACATGGGAGAAGGCAGGAAATCTCATGGCATCAAGCAAAAAAAAAAAAAAAAGCCCCTTAGAATATTTTTTATTAGGTATAGCATTCATTTTCTTTCACTATTCTGGAATTTCTCCTTTGTAGTCATCTTTGTTACTGTGGTTACAAAGGAAATGTGGGATCCAAAGAACTATGTTACACACTACCAAGGGTTTGGGTATGAGATTTTAAAAACCCTTTTCTCTATACGGCAGACCACCAAAGAACCATGCTTTGGTTTAAAAAATGGCATGTTATAATGTATAGGGCACACTACGTAAGAAACACAAGTCCTAAAATCTTCTTGGGTGCAGAGAACAAATTGCACGGTTCTTGGTTCCTGGCCTAGGCACCGAGCCTGCCATTTTGTAAGAAACTGGTAGATACTTGACTTACTGGTAGGTCTGAAGCCAGAGAGACCTCATCTTTGTTCCAAATAGCACTGGCCCAATAGTGGGCTGTAGAAGGTTTCGGTAATGCTGTGTCCCAGGGTGGCTTCCCTGGATGGTTGTGCTGTCTCCGTGGGAATAGATGATGGCAATGAATAATTTAAGGTCTAGGCCATATGGAACTGGCAAAGTTTGGGGCACAGGCATTGAGGTCCTGTGACTCTAGACAAGGAAGATGCTCCAGAGCCGCATCTGAAGCTCAATGCACTCCTTGATGTTCTCACTGCCAGAGCAACTTTTTCTTAGATCTACTATAGAAATAGAGCATAATCCTATGGATCTGTTACTTGAGAGTCACTCCTATTGAACTGGGATTTGCTTCCACGTAGGATCAGGCTGTCATTTGTGCTGATGGATCAAATCACTCAACAAATAAATTTACTATGGGCTTCCTTGGAAAAAAAATAGGAATTGCACATTGATTTGTTACACATTAACTGAGTTGGGAGTTAAAAGTGATGTTCATGCTATAGTAAAGAAAAGAAAAGCTACATGCTGGATCTTAGTTTTCATAAAGCACTACAGTCCTTTAAAATGTTAAAGACTTTTCCCCACAGTTAGTTTTTTCAGTCTATCTGGAATCCGGTCATTTGGATCTCATCAAGGTGGGCTGCTGCTGTCCTTCAGCAGTTACAGCCTAAGGCCTCTGCTGCTTCAGGTCAATTTACTTTCAAGGTTGGTGGTGATATTTTTTCCCATGTACTGATTTTTTTAAAAGAGCATGCTCAGGTCAGTTGTCTCTGCCTTTGCATTAAATTTGTCCTGAGCCATTGCTATGGAAGCAATATTTTATAATGGTATTCTGTAAAATGTCAATGTGTTCTGTTATTAACACCTACTGCATGAATTTGATTCTGCATATTTGCTTATGTTTTGATTGCAGAAGTATGATTGCTTTAAGTAGAATGAAGAGTCAATTGTGCATGCAGATTAATATTCTAATCTCACTGCCTGTGTATGGACAATAGGAAAGAAAATAACATTTATTCTAGTACTACTATATCTATTGTAGCAAGAGCATAAAGCCATATTATCCTATTTTCATTGGAAATGACCATACATTAAAAGACCTACAATATGTATACAAGTAATCAAGTTTCCCACTTAACAGTTGTATCAAACTTTTTAATACGTTTTTAAGGAATGAACCTTTGAAGTTGATAGAACTGTATCAGTGTGAGTGGATAAGCACCCTGGAAGCAGTTAACATTCTGCTTTTGATTTTCCTGAGGTCCACTCTTAAATAAGTGGTATTTTTCCTTAAAAAAGACTAAATTAAGGAAAGATGGACATCTTCCAAGAAAACCCCAAGATATGGCTCATCGACAATGCTTGCCAAAAAATCTGAAGTATTAAGGAAAGTATGGCTGAATTTCATTTGTCTTTGTTAAACCTGTTGAAATGGTTATTTATAGTACGCCTACCATGCACTGACAGTGAATCAGTAAAATACTGCATGACTCAGCATGAACAGTTTAACGTGAGAATATCATTATAAAATATTTTTATGAAACGTCTTTGTGCGATGATCCTTGTACATGGAGGCTTTTGTCCATTGTGGGAAGCTAAACAAAAGATACATTTAAATAAAACTTACTTTTCATTTATTTATATATATATATCCATGCATGATGCTCCAAGATGGCCTATGTAAACTATTTCTTTCTGTCAGTTCATTTTCTCACTCGTCCCACAAATGTATTTGCAATCATTTGTTCAGATCACTGATGCCCTCTTCTTTGTTTCTCCCCCTATGCATTCTGTAAATAAATGTCTATAAATATACCTTGATTTTGTCTTTCCATAATTAACCATTGTTGTGTAAACACCATACTGGCATTTTGTGTTAAAATGCCATTTCTTAGTATGGGTACACCTGCTGCAAAAGGAACATGATAATAATAAATGAAAGTTTACCCCTCAGGAACAGTATAGCAAAATGGTGTAAACACCCAGAAGGCTTGTTTTTTGTTTTGTTTTTGTTTATTAACAAAAGTTCTGTACAGTACTTCATATGCCAGAAAAAATATTTTATAATTTGTTAACCCCTTTCATTTCCAATTTCATGTATCAGCCTATACAAGATAAGTCACTTTGGGGTTAAACTCCAAGAACATGAATATGTACATAATATGTATAATATAAATTGAGCACTGAGCCATTCAAACTTTTACTGCATTTTCAAAATATAAATTTCTCTTTTTCTCTGCCAAGCCTTTATTTAAATAAAGGATTCATTGAAATACAAATGTGCAGAGACCATCCTAAAAAAGATCGATCAATTCTTTGATGTCTTATTGAAAGGGGTGTTGTGTTATTGTGGAGTGATCTCATGGTGTTGTAAGCAGGTTGTGATTTGGCATGCGTTTACAAATTGCACCCAGCATGTTAAAACATTCTTTTAATTGTTATGTGAAATGTTTGCATATGTGGTTATTATCTGTGAACTCATTGTACATGTATCCAAATGTGTTTTCTATTGTGCTTGATTTTGCTGGCCATTCTTGAATGACTTGGCAATTCAAGAAACAAATGCTCTGTGCTGTCCTCTGTAATATGTATTCTCTTTGATGTGTTTTGTCATATTCCATCAGCTTGTATCCTTCCTTTGCCAACAACATATCTTTATATGTGTTGGAAACAAATTTATGCAAAGACATAATTTAGCAAGCTTTGCTTAACATATTTTTAAAATTAATATGAAATTAATTTGTTCCTCGTTTAAACACACTGTTGCTTGGTATAAATCTTTTGCAGTCAATCCACCATCAGACTTGAATTTTAAAATTATAGATGAACACACTGTTCAAATGTCATGGACGAGACCATCTGATGCAATAGAAGGTTACAGGATAACACTGACACCTGCAGCTGGTAAGATGGTGTGTTTGTGTGTGTGATCAAAACAGTGCAGTTTTCTTCAATTCCACTACTTTTTCCACTAACAAATGGGGAGTATGCTCAAACATAGCATTAGAATAGATAATAAAATATCTTTAAGTTAGCTTAATTGCATCTGGTAAGTTACAGTGCAGTCCCATAATGCCTGATGGAAGCCTTTGATCCTCTTTGCATGTCACCACAGCAGATCTGGGGTTAATTAGCCCATGATTTGCTGGGGACACACAAAACACATGCACTGCATGTGAGCCAATTCTCTTTTGAGATGCGACTTTCAAATGCCCTGTTTGTGAATTATTGCATGATGTATGAATGCTGACATGTTGAGTTGTTCTTGAGTAAGTGCTCATCCTGACAAATTGGCCCTGATGTTTCTACGTTTTTTCATGGTTGCCGTTTTGAATGATAAACTCCTACTATGAGATTTAGAAATTCTGCTCTATGACAGTGTTCTCATTATGTTGAATTGCAGATGGCCCTACTAGAGAATTTACTCTAGCACATACAGCTACCCAAACTTTATTAACAGACCTCATTCCTGATACTGAATATGTTGTTACAATAAGTTCATATGATGACAGAGAAGAGAGTATATCTGTCTCTGGACAACTGACAAGTAAGTTCACATAAATAATCTAGATTTAAGTTGGGATGGAGGGGCAGCATTGTGCTGTATAGATTCACCCTTCCTATGGCTTTGAAGGGCTTTCTTTTCACATGCGTGAATGATATGGTAGAATGATGCTTGGGGCGAGGTGGTGGAAAAGTCCAGATTTATCTTGGCCCTGTTTGCAAGCTCACTTCCAACTACAAGGTGATTGTAAATCTGTTTTGAAGCAGGTACAACATAGCCATGTGGAATCAGGCCCAGACCTGGCCTTCCTGTTGTCCCCAGAAGGCCTTTTCCTTTGCCTCACTCCCTTTCCCTTAATCATGTTTCGTGATTAAGTGGTTTCTCAGTATTTATCAACCCCCCTCTCCCAATCTCAAAGGTTGAAATGCCTTCCTAAAGCTTAGTTACTGATAGTAATAGCTTTAAGTAAAAATATGCTGGTGGGTCTGATATTTTGGCCCCACCCCTTTTCCATGAGGTGGAACCCCTGAGAGCTTATCCAAAAAAACCTCAGCCCTTAGCTTGAAAGAGGTTTTGCCCCCTGACAGTTCGTGGTTTTCTATTAATCCATTTTCCACTGTTACAGTTCAGACAGGAGGTTTAATAACAACGGAAGAAAAGAAGATTGAAGAAGTTCAGTTGCAAAGTAAGTAATACCTTATGTGCATTGCTCCTCGGATTGATTGTTAGCTCTAGTACAGAAGAAGGCAAGCTGCTGTTGTTGTTCTTGCATTGCAAACTTTTGTTTCTCATCTTCAAGGGCGCTTAAAAATGCTTGTCCCACCCTTTCATTTGGTCTGTCTTTTTTCAGAAGGCTTGGCAGCTGGTTAAGTTTTTGTTTGGAGGGCTCATTATGGTATCCGCAAAATAACAAGAGCCTGATTCCAATATAATATATCAAAAATAAATTTGTTTAGGCATATTTTGCCCATGCAGCAAGAGATACACACACGCATAAATCTTTAGTCGATTCCAGAGGTGCTGTGAGTAGTGTTCCGCCAGTGTGAGAAAGAGGGCTGCTTTGGGTGACTGCTGGCTGGGCTTTACAGGAATCAGAATCAGAATCTGAAGGAGAAGGGATGGGGGAATGCCTGGGAATGTGGGCCACGCCAAAGCACTGAGATGAGAGAAGCTGAGGTACTTCTCTCAAGGCTGGAGACCCCAGGTGGGCAGGCAGTCTCTGGGAGTAACCAAGATGTACAGCTGACAGGACAAAACTTGGAACGAGAAAGTTTCTCAGACTCAGGCAGCAGGGGCAACTCTCTTCACCCCATGGTGTGGTGTCAGCAGAGGAGGGTGGCCCAGTTAGAGGATTGGCACATGGAGTGGAAGCGTGCTCACTTTCAGAATGCCCCTTCTGAAGGGATGGGCATGGGCTTGCTGATAAGGAGAGTTTTTGGAGGCGAATATGAGATTGGTTCCAACAAATTGCTCTTTGCATGTTCAGACAATCATTCTGGGTGTTTTGTGCTTTTTGGTCAATAAAGAATGCTTTGCAGGGAGGAGGTCTGTGCACAGGAGGAACCCTGGCCCCTGCCTGGGGACAATTTTCACCAGTTCCCTTGTTGTTCCCTCTGTTCCCTGGAAATTCTACCCGGGATGGTTTGAGCACCCTTTGGAACAGGAGGGGAAGGGCTGTAGGAAGCAGTGGGGACCTCCTTTCCCCTTTCATAAACAAGAGAATGGTCCCAGGATGTGGTCTGAAGGCTCATGAGGCAGCCACTTTGCTGAAGAGCCTACTCAGGGCTTGGAGAGAAGACCACTGGCGAACCACATGTGATCCATGACTGAAGAAGAATGAGATACCAGTGCCATAAATAGGCATGAATCTTTGCTGCATCATCAGCCCTTTTTCAGAAAGCTGCTCTAGAGGCAATCTTAGATATATAAAGTGTGTGTGTGTGTGTGGTAATTCATTGCTGTGTTAAATCGCTCTAATTCTGTAAACATTATATTCCAGGATGTTCCGTTAGTGCTGTTACAGATCTAGTTTTTCTCGTGGATGGCTCCTGGAGTGTGGGCAGAAATAACTTTAGATATATATTGGACTTCATTGTTACACTTGTATCAGCTTTTGATATTGGAGAAGAAAAGACAAGAGTTGGAATAGTCCAGTACAGTTCTGATACAAGGACTGAATTCAACTTAAATCAGTATTTCAGAAAGAAAGATCTTATTGAGGCCATAAAAAGGATCCCATACAAAGGAGGCAATACAATGACAGGTATGACTTGCACTGTCTGATAATGTAGAAAGCATGCCTAATTATCAAGTGCCTATAATTTTGCTTTGTTGTTAACATCATCCCACTTTATCTTACAATTTGAATTCAGACTGAACCTGAAGTATTCATGAATAAGAAATTAACACTCCATTTTGTCACTCTTAGGAGAAGCTATAGATTATCTGATTAAGAATACGTTCATTGAGTCTGCTGGAGCAAGAAAAGGCTTTCCTAAAGTGGCAATCATCATTACGGATGGAAAGTCTCAAGATGAAGTAGAAATTCCTGCAAGAGAACTACGTAGCATGGGAGTTGAAGTCTTTTCTTTGGGTAGGTTGAACTTTATGTTATCAAGGAGAAGAACCCAAAGCAATGGATTCCGTTTGCATTAGGGGGATTTACAGTACCTAGTTCATCGCCAACATTTGGACAGAATTGCAGCTCCTCCATACTTTGTTATAATGTTGAATTAAGGTAAAGGTAAAGGTTTCCCCTTGATGTTAAGTCCAGTCATGCCTGACTCTAGGGGGCAGTGCTCATCTCCGTTTCCTAGCCGAGGGAGCCAGCGTTTGTCTGCAGACAGTCTCCGTGATCATGTGGCTGGCATGACTAAGCACCGCAGTGCACGGAATGCTGTTACCTGCCCACCGAAGTGGTACCTGTTTATCTACTTGCATCTGCATGCTTTCGAACTGCAAGGTTGGCAGGAGCTGGCACAAAGCACAGGAGCTCACCACATCTGCGGTTTCAAACTGTCAATCTTTTGATCAACCAGCCCAGCGGCTCAGCGGTTTAACCCACTGCACCCCAGCAATGTTGAATTATGGAGAAGAAAATACTGTTATCAGAATAGTCTGGGGGCTACCTTTCAATATCTCAAAAGAAGTTATACAGAGGCAAAAAATAACAACAACATCTTAAACCACAGATTTAATTTGTACTCTCTGTTAACTAGCTGAATAAACAGGATTGAAATGGCTATGATGGATGCAAGCAAGTTCAGTTTCCTCATGTTGCATTTAATTATCAGCATCCTGTATGTGCGTGTATGCGTGCATGCACGCAGGCAAGTGTCTGTACTGTGTGCCATTTCATATCTGGCAATTTGCCTGTACATTGACGGTCACATCTTCCTCTGATTAGCGTGGTGAAGAAATCCCCTCAGCAGTTAGGCAGAATGGCCAAAGTGGTATGTGTGTGTGAGAGAGAAAATGCCATAATTTAATACAAATGCTGGTGGGGGCTGAGGTGCCGGTGAATGACCAGGAAAAGGACATTGGAGGCGGATAGCTCCATGAAAAATTTGATGCAGCACACAGCTGCTGCAGAAGAAGCAAATTCTATGTTGGGGAGAGGAATCGTAAATAAAACTGCCAGTGTTGTAATGCCTTGAGACACTTCAGGGGTGTGACCTGACTTGGAATATTGTGCACAGTTTTGGTCATTGTACCTCAAAAAGGATGCTATACAGCTGGAAAAGGTGTAGAAAAGGGAAACCAAAATGTTCAAAAGACTGGTGCAACTCAAGGAAGAAAAGTTATGATGTCTTTCATGGATCCCTGCCTTGTCGTGGTGAAGGGGCTTGCGTAGCTCAATGAAGCTATGAGCTATGCCGTGCAGGGCCACCCAAGACGGACAGGTCATAGCAGAGAGCTCTGACAAAACGCGATCCACTGGAGAAGGAAATGGCAACCCACTCCAGTATCTTTGCCATGAAAACCCCATGGACAGTACCAAAAGGCAAAGAGATATGATGCCAGAAGATGAGCCCCTCAGTTCGGAAGGTGTCCAATATGCTACTGAGAAAGAGCAGAGGGCTAGTTCTATTAGCACCAGAAAGAATGAAGTGACTGGGTCAAAGCCAAAAGGACACTCAGTTGCAGATGTATCTGGTGGTGAAAGGAGAGTCCGATGCTGTAAAGATCTATACTCCATAGGAACCTGGAATGTAAGATCCATGAATCAAGGCAAGCTGGATGTGGTCAAACGAGAGATGACAAAACTGAACATCGACATCTTAGGAATCAGTGAACTAAAATGGACAGGAATGGGTGAATTTAATTCAGATGACCATCAGGTATACTACTGCAGGCAAGAATCTCTCAGAAGAAATGGAATAGCCTTCATAGTCAATAAAAGAGTAGGAAAAGCAATACTGGGATACAGTCTCCACAATGACAGAAAGATCTCAGTTCAAATCCAAGGCAAACCATTCAACATCACAGTAGTCCAAGTCTATGCCGCATCCACTGGTGCCGAAGGGGCTGAAGTTGACCATTTCTATGAAGGCCTACAACACCTTCTAGAATTAACACCAAAAAATGATGTCCTTATCATCGTAGGGAATTGGAATGCTAAAGTAGGAAGCCAAAAGATAACCAGAATAACAGGCAAGTTTGGCCTTGGAGTACAAAATGAATCAGGGCTCAGGCTGGTAGAATTTTGTCAAGAGAATACGATGGTCATAGCAAACACTCTTTTCCAACAACCCAAGAGACAACTCTACACATGGACTTCACCAGACGGTCAACACAGAAATCAGATTGACTATGTACTCTGCAGCCAAAGATGGAGAAGCTCTATACAGTCAGTAAAAACTAGACCAGGAGCTGACCGTGGCTCAGATCATGAGCGTTTTGTTGCAAAATTTAGGCTTAAATTGAAGAAAGTAGGGGAAAGCACTAGGCCACTCAGGTATGACCTAAATCATATTCCCGATGAATATACAGTAGAGGTGACAAATAGATTTAAGGAATTAGATCTGATATACAGAGTGCCTGAAGAACTATGGACTGAAGTTCGCAACATTGTACCGGAGGTAGCTACTAAAACCATTCCAAAGAAAAAGAAATGCAAGAAAGCAAAATGGCTGTCTGAGGAAGCTTTATAAATATCTGAGGAAAGAAGAGAAACGAAAGGCAAGGGAGTAAGAGAAAGATACACCCAATTGAATGCAGAATTCCAGAGAATAGCTAGAAGAGATAATAATGCCTTCTTCAATGAACAGTGCAAAGAAATTGAAGAAAACAATAGAACAGGGAGGACCAGAGATTTTTTCAAGAAAATTGGAGATATGACGGGAACAGTTCATGCAAAGATGGGCATGATAAAGGGCCAAAATGGCAGGGACCAAACAGAGGCAGAAGAGATTAAGAAGAGGTGGCAAGATTACACAAGAACTATACAAGAAAGAGCTTAACGTCCCTGATAACCACGATGGGGTGGTCACTGACCTCGAGCCAGACATCCTGGAATCTGAAGTCAAATGGGCCTTAGGAAGTCTGAGCAACAACAAAGCTAGTGGAGGTGACAGTGTTCCAGCTGAGCTATTCAAAATCCCAAAAGACGATACAGTTAAAGTGCTACATTCAATATGCCAGCAAATTTAGAAAACTCAAAAGTGGCCACAGGATTGGAAAAGGTCAGTTTACATTATGATCCCAAAGAAGGGCAATGCCAAGGGATGTTCAAACTAAAGCACCATTGCACTCATTTCACATGCTAGCAAAGTGATGCTTAAAATCCTACAAGCTAGGCTCCAGCAGTATGTGGACTGCGAACTACCAGAAGTACAGGCAGGATTTCGAAGAGTCAGAGGAACTAGAGGTCAAATTGCCAACATACACTGGAGAAAGCTAGGGAGGGATCCTGGAGAAAGCTAGGGAGTTTCAGAAAAATGTCTACTTCTGCTTCATTGATTATGCTAAAGCCTTTGTGTGAATCAGAACAAATTGTGGCAAGTTCTTAAAGAGATGGGAGTACCAAACCATCTTATTTGTCTCTTCAGAAACCTATATGCAGATCAAAAAGCAACAGTGAGAACTGGACATGGAACCACTGATTGGTTCAAAATTGAGAAAGGAGTTTGGCAAGGCTGTGCACTGTCTCCCTGACTATTTAACTTATATGCAGAGCACATCATGAGAAAGGTGGGGCTACATGAATCACAAGTTGGAATCACAAGCCGGGAGAAATATCAACAACCTCAGATATGCAGATGATACCACTCTAATGGCAGAAAGTGAAGAGAAACTAAAGAGCCTCTTAATGAGGGTAAAAGAGGAGAGTGCAAAAGTTGGCTTGAAACTCAGCATTAAGAAAACTAAGATCATGGCATCCGGTCCTCTCTCCTCCTGGCAAATAGATGGGGAAGAAATGGAGGTAATGACAGATTTCATTTTCCTGGGCTCCAAGATCACCCCAGATGGGGACTGCAGCCAAGATATTAAAAGATGCTTGCTCCTTGGAAGGAAAGCTATGGCAAATCTAGACAGCATACTAAAAAGCAGAGATGTTACCCTGCCGACAAAAGTGCGTATAGTCAAGGCTATGGTTTTCCTAGTTTCAATGTATGGCTGTGAAAGCTGGACCATAAGGAAGGCTGAGCGCCGAAGGATTGAGGCCTTTGAATTGTGGTGGTGGAGGAGACTCCTGTGAGTCCCTTGGACTGCAAGGTGATCAAGCCGGTCAGTCCTAGAGAAGATCAACCCTGACTGCTCTTTAGAAGGCCAGATACTGAAGATGAAACTCAAATACTTTGGCCACCTAATGAGAAGGAAGGACTCTCTGTAGAAGAGCCTAATGCTGGGAACAATAGATGGCAAAAGAAGAAGGGGACGGCAGAGGATGAGTTGGCTGGATGGAGTCACTGAAGCAGTCGGCATGAGCTTAAGTGGACTCTGGGGGATGGTGGAGGAAAGGAAGGCCTGCAGGAATCTTGTCCATGGGGTCACAATGGGTCGGCCACGACTTCGTAACTAACTACAGCAACAAGCTTAGAAAAGAGGTTAAGCAGGGCATGATAGAGGCTGATAAAGTTATATGTGGTGTCAAGAAAGTACATATGGGGATATTTTTTGCCAGCTCTCATAACACTATTGGGTCATCCAAAGAAACTGAATGGTAGGTAATTCAAGACAGATAAATGGTAGAACTTGTTGATTCTGTGCCTCCTTAAATATGGAGCTTGCTACCACATGATGTTGTGATGGCCATCAGTTTGGATGGCTTTAAAAGCCATCCTGAGACCCACTGGGTATTGGACTGGGTAAAAATTACCCAAATAAATAAATAAAACAAAAGGGGATTAGAAAAACTCATGGAAGAGAATGTTAGTGCATCAATGGCTATAGCATACAGCCATCACTGGTCCCAATAACTGTAAGCTTCTTCCAGTACCAGAAGCAGCATGACTTTAATTTCTAGGTGCATGAGCAGGAAACTGCTATTCGCTGATGTTCTGCCTGTTCGTGTTCCACCAGCAACTAGCCAGCATCTGTGGAGACACAGTGCTAGACTAGGTAGACTCATGGTCTGATCCAGCATGGCTCTTCTCTTGTTCTTAGGCTCTGTCTCAGGGTTGATTGGTGTTTTGAATGGTCTTACTATCACAACCTTATGTGGGAAGGCAGAGGTGGACCCTATCCCAGGCATGCCTCCCTCCAAAACTTCTATGCCTCCATGACCATTGGTACTCCCTGAGAGGCTTCCAATCGCCTCCCTCAATAGGTTTATAGAGACCCACAGATATAACAGTGGTTCCCTGCAGCACTGGTACGTTATTGACCCACATGTTGTACCTTCTGTTTTAAGGGGTCAAAGCTGCAGATGCCAAAGAGCTGAAGTTAATTGCTTCTCAGCCCTCGCTGAAGCATGTTTTTAATGTGGCTAACTTTGATGGCATTGTGGATATACAGAACGAAATCGTTTCACAGGTGTGCTCAGGGGTTGATGAACAACTGGGTGAGCTGATCAGTGGAGAAGAAGGTAAGAAAAAGATTCACAGCTAATTTCATCATTGTATAGACATTCGTCCAATCATGGTGATGATGTCAGTTTTTAGGGGGGATGTTTAGGGAGGGTAAATGCTGTAGCTCAGTGGTAAAGCACATTCTTTGCATGCAAAGTTTCCCAGGCTCAGTCCAAAGCTGGCATCTCCGGTTAAACAGGGTAAGGTAGCAGGTGATACGGAAGACCTCTGCCAAAGTCCCTGGAGAGCCACTACTGGTTAGAATAGGCAGCAATTTACTAATAGTCTGGCCCTGGCTTCCTACATTCCTAAACTGTTTCTTACTGGAATGCAAAAGCCATCTCCAGTATACTCAAGGGTTTGTGCAAGTGAAACGGGAATAGTTGAAGGGAATGACCTTTTGTTTATTCAGATAGCTTGAATTACCTCATGCTACCCTGTAAACTATTTTGGGACTTAACTCAGTCGGTAAAGGAGTCTGCTGTATGAACTGGGGGCCTGCTTTTAGAGAAATGCAACTTATATCTGTTCTAAAAGTTAGCTGCTGATCTCTTTGCTTTTGAAAAGCATGTGTGTAGCTGATTTTTTGTTTTAATTTTTCAGCTATAGAACCTCCTTCAAACCTTGCAGCCACACAGGTCTCCTCAAGATCAATTAGGCTCACTTGGTATCCTTCTCCTAGTGAGATAACTGGGTACAAGGTGGACCTCATTCCAATGATAGCCGGTGCCAAGCAACAGTCTCTAAGTGTAGGGCCTCAGACTACTGCTGTCAATGTAAAAGATCTTTCTGCGGACACAGAATACCAAGTCAGTGTGTATGCGATGAAAGAACTGACTGCCAGTGAGCCAGTGACTATAATGGAAAAAACACAACCGGTGAAGGTTCAAGTGGGTAAGTCATTGGCTGGCAAAATGAACTATCATATGTTTGTGGTGGAATTATACTAAAAGCAAAATGCCTGCAGCTTTTTCCAACCTGGTGCTCTTCTGATGTTTTTGGACAGTAACTCCCATCATGCCTGACCACTGGCCTTGGAGGCTGGGGATGATGGAAGCTGAAGTCCATCATGCCTGGAGGCAGCAGGTTAGGGAAAGTTATATTACTGAGAAAGTCTAGTTTCAGTAAAGGACAATGTTAAATTTCTAAATAGCTAAAATTCCTTAGCAACATATTCTCTGGGCGGCCATTACAGTATAAAATCAACAAATACCCAGCCACTAGTGCTTAGAGTAGGCAGCCCTGTACAAATAGTCTGCATATAGTAATAGCCTGACCCTGGCATAAGGAAGCTTCCTACATCCCTAAGTTGTTATTTTATTGGGAAGCAAAAGCTACCTCCAGCATACCCAAAGGTTTGTGCTAGCCAAACTGGAATATTTGAACGAAGTGACCTTTTGTTTGTTCAGATAGTTTGAATTCCTCCATAGCTATTTCTTTCAGGTAAGTCAATGGAAAATCTTTTGGATTTGGCAATAGTGGTATAAGTGACATTCTATGCACCTTTATAGTGAACGGAATTCTCACTAAATTCAATAGGACACACTCCTGTGAAAATGTGTATAGGAGCCCATTGCATGTTGCCCTTCATACATGAGAGCAAAAGCCAGTGAAGAGAATGCTGCATGTTCATCCATGTGCATCCCAATCGAAAATGTATCTCAGCAGTAGAACGGATACGTAAATTGAGGAATGCGACATGGATGCCTACACTGAAAAATTATATGGGTTGCAGAAGGATGACCAAGAATTATTGAATACCTAGAAGTATGTTCCTTTTTGGATATTTTTATTAGAAAAATAGAATGAAAGTAAAGAACTATTCTTTTAAATATGAAAATGTCTTTAAAGTGATTGTATAGTGTGCATTTTTGAAGAATTATTTAAAATTTTCAACAGTCATGTGGTCTTCTATTGTAAGCTCACAATGTACTATTAATAATACAGATTTGTCCGAACAGGATCAGTCAATTCATACATTTGAAGTGGCTTCTGTATAAGTAGTGTGAGGATACAAAAATGCTGCTAGCCTCTGGTGATGCCTAGAGAATAAAGAGTGGTGAGAACATATGAGCAAACAATTTGTGTGGTCTTTCCACCTCAAAAGTGGGGAGGATTCCACAAATCAAATTGCTGTATCACACATTGTGTAGCAGGCCTGGTAGATGCATGTGGGTATCCCATCATACCTAGTGAAAAGAGGCCAGTTTTTTAAAGTTACTAATACCACTAGAATTCACTCCTCCAGAAACATTGGCCATTCAAACAAAGAGACCAGTAGCAGTTTCAGAGGTTCCAGAACTTGGGGGCCCTCTGTCAGCTTCCAGATTGCCACCATGGTGGTAATCATATAGGGTTAGCAGACTGTACAGGCTGCTGATTAGACCAGGAAGTTGTTTTTGTTAGCAATATTGGTTTTTTAATCAGAATAGCACAACTAACTTCCTGTTTTCAGAAATACAGGAGCAGTATGGCTGCCCATTTAGTAGCAGATATCAGAGCTTGTGTGGCTTAGTGGTGAAGCATGATTGCTGGGTCAGACCTTGCCTCACGCATGAACTCAACAGGCAAAGCACTATCTTTTTGTGCCAGCACCCTTACAGTTTGGGGACTGATGCAGATCATGATGATGTGACATGTCCTAAATGATTTAAAGGGTAGTAGAAATGCTATTTTTAATTACTTGGAATGATAATGTTTTGTCTTGTATTTTATTGTTGTATGCTGCTTAGAGAGTCTTGTCAGTTATTCAGCATCCTATAAATTTAAAAATAAACAAACATTCTTCTCCTTTCATTTTGCAGAATGCTCACAAGGTGTGGATGTAAAAGCTGATATTGTGTTTCTGGTTGATGGCTCCTACAGTATCGGCATTGCCAATTTTGTTAAAGTGAGAGCATTTTTGGAAGTGCTAGTTAAAAGCTTTGAGATTTCACCTAACAAAGTCCAAATCAGCCTTGTCCAGTACAGCAGGGATCCTCATACTGAGTTTACTTTGAACAGATACAACAGAATTGAAGACATAATTCAAGCTATTAACACTTTCCCATACAGAGGTGGATCTACAAACACTGGCAAAGCAATGACCTATGTAAGGGAAAAAGTCTTTGTTACAAGCAAAGGTGCAAGAGAGAACGTCCCAAGAGTCATGATTCTGATTACTGATGGGAAATCATCAGATACTTTTACTGAGCCTGCTATAAAGCTGAGGAACTCGGATGTAGAGATATTTGCAGTTGGTGTTAAGGATGCAGTACGGTCAGAATTGGAAGCAATTGCTACACCACCGACGGAAACCCATGTGTACACAGTAGAAGACTTCGATGCTTTTCAGAGAATATCCTTTGAACTCACACAGTCTGTTTGCTTACGAATTGAACAGGAACTTCAAAAGATTAAGAGGAAATGTAAGTAGTCTTTGCCATTTAGAAATTTATGGGGGAAATGTTTATGAAAGTATCTGGGCCAAATGTTACTACATGTATTATTTACTGCCACTCAAAGGGTAATGGCCACACTCATAGTAAAAGAGGGCCAAATAATATTTTTAGAAAAAACTAAAAGCTAACAAGATCTTACAAGTCAGTTTTGATGTTTACATCTCTAATGCCAATTTGCCATTTTGTTATTGGGAAACATTTAGATCCAAAATTAAGCTTAATTAAATAAGTGTGTAATGAAAAGGAAAAAAATAATAGTAAAACCTATTTAGTGTTGTTGTCATTCTTGCTTTTCTTGTTTTAAGTTGTACTTTGGACTCTAGTCCTATTGATACAATATTTTATATAATGACCAAAATGATGTTAAATGCTACTAGATCTTGCTGGTTTCAGTGGGAAACAGATGCTTAACTGTACCCTTGAAAACAATTTGGTTTGAAAGTGTTCAACTTTGATCATATCTCTTGATAGTGCTTCTTTTGAATTGTCTAAAGTAGTGAAAGCCCCTAGAAGACAGAATCTGACCAAGCCATCCTAAGTAGTCTAACAGGAAGGGGAGTGTAAGTGGAAGGGCGATGAAATAGTGGATCTTCTGCTTTGGGTTGACCAGAGTAGGCATATTGTGTACAGAGAGGCTTTGCTGGGCTTTTCAATCTGTGAACTTTTAAATAAAATAATCCCTCATTGAAAGCAATGGGGAAGAAATTTGCTTGACCAGCTTCAGGCTGTTGTAGCTGAGGGTGCTAACTGAGTCCTTCTCAAGGAAACAGAAGAATTTTGGATCCAGTATGTCCAAAGGCAGTCTGCCTGCCCTTGGAATGCTCTGTTTTGGGGCTTACCAAATGTAGGAAACATACCAGTGGTATATTTATGCCTGTGGAATTTTATGTGGTCAGGTCTACGGGGTAGGCGGCCCTCTTTCCAATGGAGGGGGGCACCCAGCCTATCTGTCCCAGGCAGTTGTACAAAGGTAGCTTTCCAGCTAAAAACCATTATTGCAGACTAAACAACTTGGATGCTGACTAACTTCCTGTGAACTGAAGGGCTCTTTCCATTCACCACAGTGGAACATTTTACCATCGGAAGGGGGCGGTTCTTCCTAGTTCTCTTATCAGCTGCTCCTGCACTATTCTACACTACACTAGCATCCCATTGATCTCCAGAACCAATTTTGAAGGAACACAAGGGACTGCATGGTGAATGGAGATTGGTTTGAATCACCTCCACTCTTGCCATGGTTGGGAGTGTGCTGTGAGAGGGACCCTGCTACTCCCACAGATGGAGTGTCAGTTAGGATTCAAGCCAATTTCTCTAGGAAAGGAACTTCCAAGGTTGTATTCCATGGAAAGTGGGTAATAGTTCTTAGTGTAGTATCTAGTGCCTTCAAATTTCTTTGAATGCTAGGTCTAAGTATGTACAAATAGAGACTGTTTCTACATCTTGCAACTGCAGAGAGCCTGGACACAGTGTGGTCAGATTTGCTGAAGAGAAAACAGATGGGGTCAGGTCAGGGTTTTCACTGCCAATCAGATGGGACATACAGTTGTGGTTTCCTTCAAAAAAAGGGGAAAAAAGAAGTTGCTTATACCAGAATTAATCTTTCAGATTAACTAATGGTGGACTCTTATGCATGTCTAGACAGATAAAATTGTACAACTCCCAGTATGCTTCAGCTGTAATTGTAGGGCTTTCCCCTGTTAAACATGAATAAGATTGCATCCTAAATGTAGTGTATTTACCCAGTGACATAATCCATTCCCAGTACAGATCTTGGATAGAGCACCAACAAGGATGTTAGTTTCTAGATCACTTTAGAGTTGTTACAGTGTTTTGATCTAAAACCTGCAGCATTGCTGCATGGCGTATTCGTATGATTGTTCACATATTGGAACTAAGACTTGAGAGAAAATAATGATGACTACCCGCTATGTGTACAGCAGAGGTAAAATCTGAACCAGGCACTTTCCTAAATTAGGCAAGTCCACCTTATTCGTGTATGTAAAAATGAAGCAAATACATGAACAACAAATATGGCTGCTGGCACTATGTCATGATTGGCGGAATGTTTTTTGTTGTTGGTTTAGCTCAAAACTATTTGCTTCTCAGTGACCCTTACAATACTGCATATCTTACTTGACAGAAAAGAAATGAAAGAATTGATTCCAAATCCCAATTCTGTGGTGGTGATTTTTATTGAATGCATCCCTCGTGTGTTACCTGGTGTTCCAGTCAGTGCAGATGTCCCCCAGCAACATCTACATAAGCTTAGGCCAGGCATGGTTGTGTGTAAAGTACCTGTTCATGTGCGGAGCATTGTGTGGATAGTCTGCTTATGTGCTTTAGTCAGTAGATGGCACTAGACTGAGTTATACTTGGGTGAAGATGGGAGCTTCACGTAATAGTTAATTGTCTAGTTTATTGACTGCTGTGTCTCCTAAATGTAATGACAAGCATATTCTTTAGATCTTGCCCACTGTCTGATATTTTGTCTAATTTGTGCTTTTAAACAACCTCACTGCCCGACTAATGATTAATAGTCTAGTAGTATTGATTTGGGGGAATCATTGTATTTGAACAAAGCCAGTGGAACAATGTGAAAGGCAGAAAGGGCTTGTGAATGTTCTTTAAATCATCTTCATTTCAAGGTTCTTTTTGGTGGGTGGATAGATGAAAGAATAAAAACCATGTTAACTTTACTTTTGACATAGTTTCCTAGTAATGGCAAGTCTGCATAGTTCTGAGTAAGGACATAGCATTGCTATTATTCAGCATTCATGGAGTAAACAAGGGGATATTTCCAACTTGACTATGCGACTTGAGATTTCAAATCTGTAGAATCAGCAGCTTTTGTCATGGAACGCCGGAAAGCTAGAAATAGTTGGAATTTCTGATCTGTGTCAGCGAAAGACTACTTCATATATGCTTTTAGGCTTTAGATAGCCTGGTGAACAAGACAAGCAAATCAGCATCCTGTTATTTTTTCAGCATATTTACTGAAGTTTTATCAGCTCATGATTTGCTGACTAGATTTTTATTTTCGACAGCTTACTTACCTGCAAGTAATCTGGAGTTTTCCGAAGTGGATTCTTACAGTTTCAGAGTTAGCTGGTCTCCAGCAGGAGCTGATGTCTTGTCTTACCTTGTCAAGTATAAAGTGGCTGTTGAAGGAGAGGAATTCATTATGTCTGTACCAGCTCCAGTTACTAACACAGTCCTTACTAATTTACTACCGAAAACCACCTATGCTGTCAGCGTGATTGCAGAATATGAAGATGGTGATGGGCCCACCTTGGATGGAGAAGAAACAACTTTAGAAGGTATCACTGCTATTGTCCTGCTTCTGTTCCTTTCTCCTGAAGAACAAAATAGAGGCCCAATGCATGTGTCACACTTAATATTCCCAGAATGAAGAAGATCTTGTGGCAGAGGGAGGCTGATGTAGGGAGAACTTCTTTAGATATTTAAGTCCCGAGCCAAACCACCCAATATTTTGGTATTGGGTGGTTTCTTTCCTATAAGATAAACAAACATTGAATGATTTGCATTTATTTCTTTTATAGTCAGGGGATCACCACGAAACTTAAGAGTAACTGACGAAACAACTGATAGTTTTAAAGTTGGATGGTCACCTGCTCCAGGGAATGTTCTCAGATACAGAATTTCGTATAGGCCAGTTACTGGTGGGGCGAGAAGAGAAATTGCTGTCTCAGCAAATGAAAGAGCAACAACACTGCAGAATCTAAAACCAGATACAAGATATGAAGTCTCTGTTACTCCTGAGTACCAGTCTGGGGCTGGAAATTCATTGAATGGTCATGGAAAAACGGAAGAAGGTAGGCATATGGTATAATGCTTGCTGCATGAAGGACATTCTCACATAGGACATTATGGTAGTAGGCAATAAGAAGCATGGTAAATTCAGCTGGTATCCTGATACATGAATCAGTGTCTGTTTTGGCAGCATGCATACTCTACACCTTCGCATGTAAAGCCTTTGTTGTGTGAACTGGGTTTAGCTTTGTCAGTCTCACAATGAAGAACAGAAGTGTCTTGCTACCCTTAGCAGCGCAGCAAAGCCTCAGCCACGTTCTTTGCCTAGTGATGCCTTTCTTGTTAGATATACTGATTTTTGGTATCACTTAGATTTCATTCCAAAGGCCATCTTCCCCCTGAAAAATGCCATTGTTTCTTTGGCTCTCACTGAAGCATCGTGTTTCTCCAAAAATAAGCCTGAGTCTTATATTAATTTTTGCTCCAAAAGACACACTAGGGCTTATTTTCAGATGATGTCTTATTTTTTCATGTACAACAATCTACATTCATTCATGAACAAAAATCTACATTAAGTCATGTACAAAAATCTACATTTATTCAAATACAGTCATGTCATCTTCTTCAGGAACATCATCATAACTCTTCAAACCCCAAATTGTGTTGCAACAGACGTATTAAATGGGTCTGTCTGGCTGATGATCTTAACTGGGGCTTATTTTGCGGGTAGGGCTTATGTTATGAGCATCCTGAAAAATCATGCTAGGGCTTCTTTTCTGGTTAGGTCTTATTTTCGGGGAAACAGGGTAGCAACCTCCAGCTTTCAAACCACATTAGATAGTTGTCCTGATTTGTTTGCCCATACTGAAATACTATCCTGTGTCAGTCGCTTACATTTCTAAATATTGGTCCCGTCATACTTAATTGCCACAGATACCTTAAAGACAACGAAGTCCAATTTCTGTAATGTCCTTTGTATTATCTACAGTCCTGGGAAGGCCAAGAGACTTGGAAGTTTTAGATCCTACAACATCCTCACTGAAATTGACTTGGAGATCAGCACCTGGCAAAGTACAGCGATACCTTGTAACATATACTCCAGTGACGGGAGGTGAAACGAAAGAAGCAACCTTAAGTGGAGAAACTACCACTACAGTTCTCAGAAACTTGGAGCCAGGGACAAGATATGATTTATCTGTGACTGCCCTTTATGCATCTGGCGCAGGGGATGCTCTTCTTGGACAAGGCGACACAATTGAAGGTACTAACAGCTGGATTTCACAAATTATGATTGGTATAACCAAAGATGTTTTGTGAATGCATATCCCCCTGCTGGTTGGTAGCAAAGGTTTCTTAGTAGCCAAGAATCAAACCTGGTTTGCATATAATGCTTTACTGTAGTTTATCTAACTCATTGCTAACCCATGGTTTGTTGCCATACCCATGGCAAACAAACAAACTTTTTCCCCCTCAAACTTTGGATTCTTTGATTCCTTTCTCTGTTGCCACCTCCCTCCCAGTATCCCAAATATGCTTGAGAAAGGACTGGTATATAGAACAACTGGCATTTGTTAACATGCTCACTCAGCACCTCTATACTCTGGCAAAAAACTCATGAACAACTTACGGTTCTGAGGTCGCATATAATGACAACCCATGGATTAGGTAATCCAGAGTTCAGAACTCAGCAAAAAGAAAAAAAAAGAGTTCTTTTTGTTCATAGCTAACAAACCATGTTTTACTGTGGCTAGGTTTGCATATCAGAACAACCAAGAATTCAACAACCCATGGATTAAATAAACCATGGGTTAGCACTATGCATGAACCAGGCACTAAACAGCAGTAGTAGTACTAAGGTAGTATACAGACTATCCAAATTTACTAAAGGAAAGAAATGATAATTTTCCTAGATTTTATTTTGTGTAAACTCTGTAACATGATTAATTTTTGGATTACATCACTAGGAGATTTAGGAATATTTTTCCATGGCCAGTTTCTGGGACTCCAGAAAAAAGTCTTGGCCTGGCGCCAAAAAACAAATAACGATGGCGCCAGGCAGACCTCTCTGGGGAGCGCATTCCATAAGTGGGGTGCCACTGCAGAGAAGGTCCTCCTCCGGGTACTTTGCTTCCTGTTATCTTTCACGGAAGGCTCCCAGAGGAGAGCCTCTGCTGCTGATCTCAAGGGGCAGGAGGGCAAATATGGACGGAAAAGAAAATTTTAGGAAAGAAACTTACTTGGCTTCCACAAAGTACCCTCTTCTACTCATTTGTCTGCATTGCAGATGTGGAAAACGGCAGTTGCAGCCAACTCCCCTACTAAATATTAAGTTCCTATTTACAGAGGGCTGTTTCTTATACTCCCACTTTATGGAATCAGAGGCTCTGGAGACTATCCCAAAGGGCTGCTTCCATATGCCACTCCAGCCTGTGATAAGAACATAGAGAAGCAAAAAATGCAACTGTCTGGAGAATTCCATATATGTCTTGTTGTAAGGATTTAGAGCATAACTATTTAATACTTCTCTTAAAAGATCCTGTCACAATAGCAATTAACAACAAACAAAGAAATGAACACACCCCTGTAACAAAACCAGGTTGCTCTACTGAGTTTTTGTGCTGCATCTAATACCGTAGTAAAAAAAATCTGTTCATTTAGGTCATATGCTGGGATCCAAAGAAATCTGTGTGTGTTCACAGAATAGTGCCATGCATGATGCATGAAGTAGGGAGTGGGCAGTTTCTGATTACAGCTCATGTATTTTTGTGCAAGAATATCCTTAAACTCAGGGGCATCTTCAAGGAGCACAGGGGACTGCTACTGGGAGGGAGTCCACCATCTCCCTTTGTCCGTGTTAGATGGCACACAACAATTTGGATCCCTGTCACAATACATTAAAACAACAGCTATTTACCACAATAATTTCTGAATTTCTTTTCATTATTGCTTCAACTTTTAATACACGCAAGAATAATGATTTCTAACCCTGTTCAAAACTCTGCCCTCCCTTTTCTTTCTGCACTTAATTTTGTTTTATATCTTTGCTTAATGTGAAAATTCAGTTTTACAGCTAAGGCATACATAATTACAGATTCTTCTATGTAAATTAATGCTTGTTTGGTCATGCACCAAAGATATGATCAAGGGCTACACAACTTGCCAGAAATTATCATTTTCTCATGTACAATGCTTACCTTGATTTGTTAACTGTTAAAAGAATGTTCCATAATTTGGGAATCCATTCTGTTTGTTTCAGTGGCAGAAGTGATGATTTCTATAATTTCTATGTATATATTTTTTAAAAAATGCTTATCCTCTGGAATGTGTTTATTCTACAGTTGGATAAGAAAACTTTGCTGATATGTATAAGATGAATTTTTGGCGCTCCTGAGAAACTTTTGCTCTTGGGCTATTTTATGAGAAGAAATGAATGCAATTCTGTGCACAAAAATGATATGTGGACTGCCAGAGGAGACAAGGCAGTGTTTCTAACTTGTCACGATTAAAATTTAGCAATACAGACATGGAACAGGTTCTCTCTCCAACCCACCCCAAATACTCTTAGAGCAAGCTGGCTTCTATGGGTGGGATGAAAGAACTGTAGCTTTATTGTGTGAAACAGAACAAAATTACAAGCTACACTTGGAAGAACAAGGGGCGGAAAGCAAAAAATACTTGGAGAATATAAGTAAGAATGAGATTCATTGTCACAAGGAGCCAATTTTTAAAATGCGCGTTCATGAGAAATAACTTATGAGAGTCATAGTGATGAAGTTAGGAACAAGTTTCCATTAAGTTCTTGAGTTACGAGTAAAAGAGATGCACAATTAGCGGGGTTGCCATTTATGAAGCAGGGAGGGACATTCCCTGTCTCAGCTCTCAACTCAGGCATGCTTATTCCTCAGGGCCACCTGTATCTGGCTATTATGAGGCGTGAAAAAGAAGGATATTTTACATTTAGGCTGAAATCCCATGCTCCCTTTCCTCAGACTAAGCCCCACTCAATTCAATAGGCTCTCCTTCTGACTAGACATGTATAGGGGCTGTGCTGTTAATTCTGAAAATGAGAGCCAGTGTGGTGTAGTGGTTAAGAGCATGGGACTGGGACTCAGACGATCTGGGTTCTAGTCCCGGCTCAGCCATGGAGCCAACTGGGTGACTTTGGGCCAGTCACAGACTCTCAGCCCAACCTACCTTATAGGGTTGTTGTGGGGATAAGATGGAGGAGGAGAATGATGTAAGCTGCTTTGAGCCCTTTGTAGGAAAAAGGCAGGATATAAATTGAAAAATAAATAAAATAAATAAATAAAATATACACAGGGAGGCCTTTGAGCCTTGGCTAGAATCTGTGTTTCCTGTATTTTTGCCAAACATTTCTGTGAACCCAGCTAGCTTATCTGTACCATGAGGGCTAAACTTTCTGGGCAAAGAGAATGATTGACATGCTTGCTTCACTGTAAAAAACACACCTGGCTGCCCTCTTTTTAAAACTTTGAGGGTTAGTTGGCTCTTGTTGATGACAAATAAAATGGTATATGTAGAACTGTAGGACCAAACTACTTGTTTCTTTAAATGTGTTATTGCATTTGACATGGTTGGATTTTAAAACAAATAGCTGGGAAGTGGAACAACATGTCCACAGTGGGCAGGAATGTGGAATTTAACTATTTCATTCCTGTTGTGGGTCCTCCTAGTGCAAATAGCAGCTTGATATGTATGGGTCGATTCGTCAGGATTAGGGCATGGAGTGGAAAGAGAGTCCACTACTGTCCCAGTCCTGGTTCCTTCCCAACTCCAGAAAGACTTTTTTTGTTGATGTGTTTAGCATAATGAGCAGGGGATGTTTGGGGAGTGGGCTAGCTGAGTATTTATATACCTTCTTACCTTTGAAGCTTAACCTCTGCCACTCTGAGTGATCTTTCCCTTCACTTTGAAATAGCGTTCCTGCCTTCATGGCAAATTATGGGCAGGGGCATAGCTTCATAGGTGTGATGTTTCGTGTTTCAGACCTCTGCACTGATCCTGTGGAGAGTCACAAATGTATATCACCAGATTAACCATATAATCCAGGATCTCATGTGTCTGTCTCCATTCTTCATCTAACCATCCTGGTCCTAACTTTTTTCTCAAGCCCAAGTATATTCTGTCACCTGGAAGCTGCTAATCGTTTGGGAGTTAAAGGCTCCTAGAAGTTGGAAGGATAACTTAACTTACTGGTGGGCATCTTCAGTCTTGCCATGGTTCACATTTTACATAGAATCGCCACAGTCCACTATTGCATTTAATTTTATGATGCAAAAGTGTACAGTCAGGGTCTTTTAAAGAACAATGGTGTTAAGTAATCTTAAATATGCATTCTTGCTTAACAACTAAAGAAGTACCTTGATGGAAATCAGATGAAGTCTGAGGAGTCCAACATTCTTTGCAGGAATCCAGCAATGAGCAGAGATGAGGTGGTCTACCACAAATTGGTCAGTGGTCCACCAGTGGAGTTCATTTTACTTTACACCCACCCATGGTTTAAGCAGCTCTATGACTCTGTTAATAAAGTATAGGATTTTCTTTGATAACAGATGCCCTGTAATAAATGCCTTCCTGATTTTCCTCTGGCCTGTTACTGCTTTTCATTACTTTTGGTGATGCTAGATCAACTGCACATTATGGCACAGTCAGCTTAAAAGAGAAATTGGATATTTCACCTCATTGTTCTTCCTAAGCCACAACCCCCCTTGAGCTTTTCCATTTGATTTTTTTTAACAGAATCTGAGCCAAACCCATGGGTCATACACTAGAAATAAGACATAATGGTAAACCCAGCAATTGCAATGAGTGGAAACCCAGTAAATGGCTAACAGTCAAATGTTTCTGTGAGCTACTGTTTTTCTAATCTCTTTTTCCCATGGAGAGGAGGTGGTAAGAGCAGATCTGGCAAAAACTTTCTTGTTTGCCTTGAGGTATAATGTCAAATGACAGGAACATGCTGTATGCTGCCTGCTAAATAGATTAGTTTGAACTGAATATAGGGTTGCTTTTTTCTGTAATTTTGAAAGAAAGATAAATGTACTTCTAGGTCTGGCAAATAGTGCAGGTGCTACAAACTGTCATCTATATAGTTATTCTCTCAAACTTGACAATTCTGCTCTGCCTGGAAAAAAAGAATCTCCTAGCACTGTTCCCATGACATTACATATATGCTTGAGAAGCAGAGCTTGTTTACCATTTGTTATTCAGAACAATTCAGCGAGAAATTTAATGATTGAT